AATTAAAAATGAAGTATGTGCTAGATTATTCTGGATAACTTTGTCACACACACCACCCCCAAAATGTGTCTCCGTGGCTGCTGTTGGAAAGGCTGTCTTGTTGTTTGAGGGCTTGCTCACTAGGGGGCAGTGAAAGGTTTGTTTTTTGGGTTTTTTTTTTTTAAGTTGGATATTATTAGTGAGGAAATAAATGACATCTTCCTTTTTGTCCTAGGCAAAACTGGATATTGCATTTGGAACACACCACACGTAAGCAATTTTTATGAAATGGGGGGAGGTTTCAATAGATCAAAGCAGGCTGTTCCAGAAAGTACCCTTAGAAAGACAAGCATGCAATGGATTTGCTGGGGGATGAATAAACTGTCAGTAAGGATGTTGGTTAAGTTGTTTTTCAATAGCTTAAGGCAAAATACTGAGGCTCTGGCTCTCAATGTGAAACATGAACCTGTGACTCCTCACTTTCTACCTCTGTTTAGAACATTTTTATACCTGACTCAAGGGGCAGGGGATATACTGTAGTCATGTGGTCCTTGTGGTTAAAGACTGCATGTCTGCCTCTCAGGTCAGGTGCCTGCAGATTTCACTACTTTAAACAGTCCTGTGATTTTTATAAGAGCCCTGAACTATGGTAAATAGAAATATTGCTAGGTCAACTACATGCTGTGAGTGAGAAAACACTATTTTACAAAATATTGTCAACTTAAGAGGCTGATTGCAATGCAGTGAATTATTTAATGTAGCGCTTTTAGCCATGAATGATCTTGTGACTCTCACAAAATGATTGGGTGGGGCTATGCAAATAAGGTGCTCGTGGCCTACAAGGGGATTGGACAGTTTACTGACAATGCAGTAATGTGCATAGAACCCTTATGGAGGTGGGACCATGCAAATAAGGTGTATGGAACCTAATGAGCACAGCTTGCTCAGTTTTGCCATCCTGCTAGGCTTTTAAAAAGAGCCAATCTCAGAGCAGAAAGGGACCCCACTACCATCAAGAAAGAAGAGCCAGGAATGGAGTGTATCCTTTGGACCCAGGGTCCCTACACTGAGATCTTGCTACACACAGGAGACAGTTATTAACAAGTGCAAGATGATGAGAAGGAGCGAAAGAATCAGAATCAGGAGACCAGCATGAGACAGCATGGTTGGCTTCCCACCCAAGGAGCACAGTAGCTGCAGTGGGTGTGCTGGCCTGTGGAGCTGGATAGCTGAGTGGCTTTGGTCAAGAGGCTTCCTGCAGAGTGGGGTGCCTCTGGGCACTTATCAGTGGAGCTGAGAGCTTTGTAACACTTGCTGAAGCAAGGCAGAGGCCAGGTTTGAGTGGGGCTAAGGGTGGGAGGCCAAGAGGAGCCCCGTGCAGCCCAGAGGAGCTGGGAGAGCGACCCGGCACTGAAGAAGGAGGTTTTGCCTACATGCTTCTTGATCTTCATACTGAGTTGTCACCTGTTACTTCCTTAATAAACCCTGAATTTGGAAGTATCTTCTGTGAGTTCTTTGTGGCTCTTGCAACAAATTATCAGACTCAGCAGAGAGGTAGAGAGTGCCGTTGTCTTTGTTCTCTCATGGTGCTGTAACAGAAATACCACAAGTGGATGGTTTCAACAAACGGGTTTATTCTTGTCCACTTTAGGAGGCTAGAAGTCTAAATTCAGAGTGCTGGCTCTAGGGGCTGGGTGAATCCCTTCACCTTGGGCTTCAGCTCTGCCCCTTAGTCCAGGCCCACTGGAGCTGGAGACCTCTCTTAAATCAGGTAGCTGCTGGCTACTGAGGCTGACAAACCCAAGGCTGTCAGGTAAAACGGCACAGTCCCAAGATTGGCAGGCAACATGACAGGTTCAAGTCCAAGAACAATCACAAGATCAGCAGGCGACATGGTAGGCCACTGGTTTAAGTCCAGGAACTGGAGGTGAAGACTGAGCCAAATGCAAGATTCAAAAGTCAGAGACCGTTCTCAAAGTTTCACCTTATGTACTGGAAACAAGCCACACCCTGAAGGCAGCTACTTAGCTGCTCACAGCAGATTCCACCGTGGAGGTGATTACAGCCTCATCATGGGGAATAACTACATCCAGCTGCCCAGCCACTCAAAACACAGCCAAGCTGACACACAACCTGAACTACCGCAGCCGTGGAAGGCTGGAGGTATGGTGGACCTTCACCTCATACGAATCAGCCTTAGGCTGTTGATGTTGCTTCTGTTTCCCTCTCCTGAAGTTAGACATCGACACTCTCAGACCATTTTTATACTGATGCCGGTCCCAGTTTAAAACACGTCATAAATTTTCTCTGTTAGAGTGATTTTCTGAGACATCATAAAACACAAACAGGAAAAACTTTTCTGATACTTCCTACTTGACATATTGCACCCTGATGCGATATGATTGACTTGATTCCTGTGTGGTTCAGTTTAGATTAACAACTCTTCTATTGACTCTTTCATGTGATTGATTCTGTACATGAAGAAAAGAATCAGACATAGTTCCAATATTTTTGTAAGTCATATCTCTCTGGAAAGGGCTTGTCAAACAAATGTGACAGGACCTCGTCTTTAGACCTGTGGGGAAGGGCGACTTCCTGCTTAGGCATTTTCCTCTAGGTGTATGTTTCTAGGGCAGCAAAGGAATCTCACAGGAGGGAACGTTGATCCTGAGTCATGCCGTGACTGCTGTTTGCCTGATGTTATTGGTGACCTGAAATGATGGCATTGTGTTAGTCTTTTCCCTGTGTGTATGAAACCATATTTACCAATCTGTTTTGAAAAGAAACCAGGGCAGGAGTTGAGCCGTTCTGTAGAGGATACTCATCAGCCACACATGTGTTTTCAGATGGCCTGAGTAAACATCACATTGTCTACCAGCCGTGCCTAATTGGTAGCTTCCATCCAACAGAGGCTAAAGCCTGGGGATTGTGGGATCGAACACTCAGGCACCTAGCTTGGAGGCAAGTTACTCTTTCTACAACAGTGAGCTTACAAAATACTGATTTCAGCAGGGGACACACAGTGTCATCCAGCAAGCTCTCCTGGTTCTGTCATAGGAAACGTTGCAGGAGCAGGAGGGTGACAGTAGTCAGCCTATCTGCCAGTAATGGGTACCACCAAATGGCAGGATTCTTGTCCCCTGCCTCTAGCTGAAACGCTAGTATAAATACTAGTCCTAAAGGCACTTGACTGCTAACCAGAAGGCTGGTGGTTCAAACCCACCAGCCACTCCTCAGAAGGAAGGTTGGGCAACCTACTTCCAAAGTGATAACTGCCTCGGAAACTCAAGGAGGGGTCGCTATGTGTCGGATCCAACTTGATGGCAAATAACAACAAACAAATGACATTTGGCAAGCCCTGTCACCCTGAGCAAGTGTTCCAGTCCCGGGCTTGATAGGCTAGACCACCAGGAGCCTGCTCTGGACGCACATTACATACTAACAGTTGGCACTGCATGGGTCGACTTGCACTGCGTAGAGGTCCAACTTGCAAGGGAGAGCCTGCGTTGCAATTTATCGCCGGTATGCTAAGTCCCAGGAGGGGCTGAGGATGGTGAGGCTACCCCACTGAGCCTATGAGGGCTCCCCTTTCTTTAACACTCTTCACAAGGTTTTTTCGTCCTTCCTTTTCACTCTGTGGATCAGGAGCCTGAGGACTGGAGTAGGGAAGTGAAGCAACTCCCTCAGGTCAGTGGAGGAGACAGAACTAAAATCCCTTGATTCTCATTGAGGTTTTAATTTATTGTTTGCTCACTGCAGAGGTCTTGTTCATTGTTTCCTCTCCTCTGTCCTCCACCTCCTACCACTCGCACACACAGGTCAAACCCATGAGAGTTCTTAGTCCAGAGTTCAGAATGCCTAGGGAAGTCATTATCACCTTTCCCAACTGCCTAGTAGCTGTAGTTCACATTTTGTTAAAATTCCACTATCTTGTAGAAGATTCAGCTCACATCTTGAAATTACTTTTGGTTGCTCATTTCCAAATGCATTAAGAATGACTCATTAAATACTGCCTATGTTCTCGAGACACAGCTCTAAGGAACGTAAAGTGTTCTGAGACAGTAGGTTTTTGTCCTTGGCAGTTTTTAGTCTTTTAATGAGAGAGGCAAGACAAAGACATGAATTAGAAAAAGAGAAGAGGCTGTCGTTTCCAGCTCATGCCTGATGGGGTCCCGCGACAGTAAGCGCTAGGCAGACGGTGTTTGAGAGCACTCATGTTGGCAGACGTGGGCTGACCACGTATTCAGCAAATCATATGGGAGTGCTCAAGATGCACCCCTCATCCTCCAGGAGACGGTAGACTTGGTGTTTACAACATATGTCTTCTTTCCTTGTCTCACTCCCAGTGGTGCAAGGATAACGTCCTCAGCTGCTAACCAAGTAGTTGGCAACTCAGGTCCACCCAGACACACCACGGCAAAGTCCTGGCAGTCTACCACTGAAAACTCAGCCATTCAAAACCCTGTGGAGCACAGATCTAGTGTGAGACACACAGGGTCACTGTGAGTCAGCGTCATCTCAGCACCACCTGGAGGTGATCAGTGGCCAGGGCTGTAGTAGTTTCTCTCAGCGTCTGAGAATTCCAGGGTTCTTCAGTTCCCCCAGAGCTGGGAGCAGAGTCACTTCTCGTGACCCTAAGAATGAAAGGAAGAGGAAGCTAAAGCAGCTGAGGGTTGGATGTCCTGATTTCCCAGGAACCGGTAACCGACCACAGGATGACCACCATCCCTCTTTGCGTAGCCTGACCTCCCACCAAGCATCCTTGAGTCCCCTTCTCTCACCAAGGCAGTCTCTCCACACCTGACTCTTGCCCCAGGTGTGTGAAGGGGCACCTCTAGCCGTCCGCCCCATGGAAGCTGGGGGCAGGGAGAGGAGGATCCCAGCATGTGTGAGCCAAGCAAGCTCTCCCCCTGGCTGATTTTGCAACCAGGATAAATTGCTGTCACCTGTCCCAGCCACAGATGCAGTTGTAAAGTGGGAGTGATAGCATCTTTCCTCAGCTGTGAGGATTAAACATGTTACCTGCTGTGGAGCCTTCTAGAAGGGGCCTGACGTGTCGGCATACCACAGGAGCGTGCATTCTCTCTCCCTTCCCAGGGCTAGCCTCAGGGTGGGAAATGTTCCTTTGCTGCCCCCACAGCTTGGCAGATAGAGATGCAGGTTAACTCTCTTCAAGGGGAACCTCATTCCTTGCCTTTCTTTAAAAAAAAAAAAAGGCATCAGTGGACTCCAACTCATGGTGACCCGCGTGTGTCAGGGTAGAACTGTGCCCACGGGGTTTTCAGTGGCTGGGTTTTGGAAGTAGATCACCAGGCCTTTCTTCTAAGGCACCTCGGGTGGACTCAAACCTCTGACCTTTCAGGCAGCAGCCGAGTGCATTAACCATTTGTACCGCCCAGAAACTCCTGCCCTTATTTAGTCTTCAACTGTGACCTTATTAACATGTACTGTTTTGTCTTACGAGAAACTTCATGTGGCTCCCCTTAAATTATTTCATGGTTCTGTTTGATGGGATTTGCTGACATCAGTGCATGGTTTCCCCAGTAATTGATGCCTTGATTAATGGAAATATTTGTAAAACTCTTATCATGCATCCATCACTGCCTTAGTCTTCATTGCAGTCACCTGCTGCTTTGGCAACTATGTATGTAAGTTTCCCCAGATTTCAGGGAGCACATTTCATGAATGGAAGGAAGATGGCTGAACAGCTGTCATTTCTCCAACTTTACATTTATTTGTCGTTTGCCAGCTTTAGCTTGACTTCCCGTTCTGGCAAGAGCTGACTCTCTCGTTCTCTTTTCTGTTCCTGTGTGCTTTTCCTTCCCTTTTTATCCTAACCTCATCCTGACCAAATAGTATTCGTGTTTTTGTTCCTTTGGAGAGAACCAGTGGTTCGGTTTTTTTCCCACGTGTGAACTGAGTCACATCAGTTAGTATTAAATAGCACTTTGGCCTCAGTGGAAACAATAAAATGACTCAAGACAGTTACTCCCTTGAGGAATGATTTTCTAGTAGATGAAAGAGAACTTAGCTTCTTGAAATAATTACAAAACCATAGGGAGACCAAAAATCATCCAACACTACACTGTACAATAAAGCCAGGCCCCAGAGGAATAATGAAAATGTGTCTGTGAGAGTGTTTTACATTCAGCAGGATGCATTTTTCATTTCATTCCCACTACAGGCCCATGAAGTCAACAAAGTAGGGTCAACTCTTCATGTTCCAGGTGAGAGTGGAGGCTGAGGGATGTAGCATAGTGGCTAAGACACTTGCCTGCTAACCAGACGGCTGGCGGTTCAAACCCACCAGCCACTCCTCGGAAGGAAGGTTGGGCAATCCTACTTCTGTAGTGATACTGCCTCGGAAACCCAAGGAGGGGTCGCTATGAGTCGGGGCCGACTCGACGGCACATAACAACAACATAACAGGGTCATGCCACTTCCACATGCAAACACTGGAGCTCAGGTCTTCAGACTTCAGTAGGAAGCTTTTATATATATCTCATTCCCTCTCCCTGGAGGTAACATAAGAGAAATATGTGTGATGACTGCCTGAGGAACATGTGTAGAACAGAGAGGACTTAAACTACCCTTGAGTTAATGGAGAAGAAAGGAGAAGGCCAACCTGAAGCCTAAATGCCCACTGGTAACAAATAGCATTTATGGAATATGACAAAAATCAGTCTAAGGAAGTGAAGCGTCTCTTGAACCCTAACCACATCCACAGTAAGAAATGCATGTGACATCTCAGTCCTCTGCACGCCAGCACACCTGGGTGGTGGGGTGACGTCCCGGCCCCCTGCACACCTGGGTGACGGGGTGACGTCCCGGCCCCCTACACGCCTGGGTGACGGGGTGACGTCCCGGACCCCTGCATGCTGGCACACCTGAGTGGTGGAGTGACATCTCAGTCCTCTGCATGCAGGCATACCTGAATAATGAGACAAAAATTTCAGTACTTAATTTAAATATATCCAATATGCTCTGATATTTTATTTTAATTTTTTTTCTACAAAACTATACTTGGAATTCAATAGTGACGTCACTAATAGACTTTAAGAGATCTTTTTTTTTTTTTTTTTTTAAGTTTTTTCCCTTCACCCAAGTAGTACGTGTCTACCCTCCCTCACGACCCACCCCAGTAGCCATCAAAGAATTTTTTTTTTTTTTTGTGAAACCCTTTCCTTGGCTTTTTATAACAGTGGTCTCATACAGTGTTTGTTCTTTTGTGACTATCTTCACTCAGCATAATGGCCTCCAAGTGCATCCATGTTATGAGATGTTCACAGATTCATCATTGTTCTTTAATGTTGCATAGTATTCTAGTGTGTGTAGGTACCATAGTTTGTTGATCCATTCCTCCACTGATGGGCATTCAGGTTGTTTCCGTCTTTTTGCTAGTGGATAGCGCTACAGTGAACAGGGGTGTGCATATATCTGTTTTTATTTCTCTAAGATATGTATCTACTAGTGGGATTGCTGGATCATACGGTATTTCTCTTTCCAACTTTTAAGGAAGAGCCATACCAGTTTCCACTGTGGTTGTACCATTTTACAGTCCCACCAATGGTGCATGAAGGTTCTCGTCTCTCCACACTTGTCAGAATTTGCTGTTTTCTGTTTGCTATTAGTGTTGTCAATTTTTTTTAATTGCTAGCCACAACACACCAATACATGTGACTGTACTCAATATCGACAAGAGGGTTCCTACTGGGATTCATAGCAACTTGATGCCGAGTAGATAACACAGGGCCTGACTCACTAAGTGGGACAAAAGTGCCTTTACTACCAACTACTTGGAGCATTTGGGAAGGTTATTTTCTATCTATCACTTAGGCAAACTATTGTAATGGTGATGTACAGAAAAGGGGAAGGCCTCAACGAGATGGATTGACACAGTGGCTGTGACAATGGGCTCAAGTATAGCAAGGGTTGTGAGGCTGACACAGGACCAGGCAGGGTTTCGTTCTGCTGTGCATGGGGTCACTGTGAGTGGGAGCCGACTCAACGGCACCTAAGAGCAACAACAACAAATACATATAGGCAGCATTGAACATTTTGATCAAACATTTTATAGAAGAATCTTGATCAAAAGGGGAAAATGCAGAATAGAATTTAAAGTTCTTACAGTCTCAAGCCTTTCTGGAGCCATGGATGGATTCCTGAAACTATTGCCCTAAGGGAATCTTTAAACCTTAAACCAAAAATTTCCCTTGAAGCCTTCTTAAAACCTAACAGTAAGTAGTCCAACTTAACTAAAAAAGGATGTCTGCCTTGAGCATTGTGCTCTTTGAAGAACTACATGGGATCAAATGACAACAGCACCTCGAAAGGTTGGGTAAGAATCCTGGAGGCAGTGAGTTCATGTTAATGAGGAGGAATACTCAGAAACGGAGGGAGAGTAGGTGCGGGAGACTGGTTGCACAACGCAACGAATGTGATCAGCGTCACTGAATTGCACATGTGGACGTGGTTGGGTTGGTGCATGTTTTGCTGTGTATATTCTCAACAAAAGAAAAATAAATGTAGGTAATACATAGTAGTTGGGAGAGTTCCTTTAGCAGCTCCATTTGCATTGAGATAGTTCTGCTAATGCTCTTTGATCCCCTCTCTGTTTTAAAGGAAGATGATGCTCCTGCTCTATGAAGAAGGCCTCCGGGTTGTCATCCACACCGCCAACCTCATCCATGCTGACTGGCACCAGAAAACTCAAGGGTGTGTGGGGTTCTCTTCATCTCCTGGCGGTTGCTGTGTGTGCTGAGAAGGGTTGAAAGCCGGAATGTTCACTCTGTTCTTTCAGTGTTTTTAATTGTAAAATCACATGCCCTAGGAGGAGAGGTGTATGCAGAAAAGGCTTGTTTTCCCCTTCTGCACTCCCCCCGTTCCACTCTCTTGAGGTAACCAGTGTTAACAGTTTGGTGTAAAATCATCCACCACTATCTTCAGTATACATGTAGGTGCATATAAAGACGTTTATGTGAGGTTGAAGGAACTCTGGTGGTGCGTGGTTAAGCACTGGCTGCCAACCAAAAGGTTGGCAGTTTGAACCCACCCAGTGGCTCCCTGAGAGAACGACCTGGTGATCTCCCTGCAGGAAGATGACGGCCTAGGAAACCCTGTGGGCGGTTCTGCTCTGTCCACAGTCCCCGAGTTGAAATTCACTCAGCACTTGACAACAGCAGGTGTGGGTTTATAAATGGGTTCTATGCTTTATAACCAGAGTTTACTTTAACTAGGCAACTACGCCTTTGCCCCTCCAATAGCTTCTAAGCCAGATTTTCTCCCTCAAATGCAGAGTTGAGTTTTGGGACTCTTGTAGCCCATGGGAAAGGAAATTTGGAGGAGTATAGATGGGATAGTGCATAAAGCATTTGGCTGCTAACCTTCTGGTCAGTGGTTCAAACCCACCAACCGATCCACAGAAGGGAGATGGGGCGATGTACTTCCGTAAAGATTTACTGCCTCGGAAAGCCAGCAGGGGTCACTATGTGTCAGGATTGACTTGATGGCAGTGAGTCAGGTTTGGTCTGGTTTATACCTAGTTCCTAGGGAAACAGTAATTAATGTAACTGAAGGAATTTGTCAAGATGATCCTCAACCTTATGAGGCCAAGGAATCATCCCAGCCCTTCCCTCTGTCTCCTGGTAGAGTTTCAGTCATTTCAGAGGTCAGAGGCAGAGGCCCAGAGAGGTCATTTGACCTGCCCAAAATGGCACAGCCAGTTATAGACAGATCTGGGTTCAAGGCCTTGGCCTTTACTCTTGTCGTAATGTACTACCACCTGTGCAAGAGGTCTCCTTAGGTGAGCAAGGAGAGTATGTCATGCTGCCCTACTAGGAAAATACACAGAGTTCAGAAGACACAGCCAAGGGTCCTTAAAGTTCTGGATGCTCCTACCCAGGTGACCTTCATCTCACCAGCCCCCTTTGAGGGCTGACAGGTAAAAGAAATTAGGCTGTTTTCCTTTTGGTGGAAAGGGTAGAACTGGGGAGAAGTAGCCCCAGAAGGGGAAGAAAGCAGTAACAGCTGGTACTTAGAGTGTTCGTGTAAGTGGGACCCTACTCCTTCATTACTTTGTATGAGTCATCCTAACAGCCAGTGAGGCAGGACCGTGGACCCTCCCTGCTTTACAACTGAGGAAATTGAGGCACAGAGGTGCAATGCCATACTTTTTGTCACCATGAAGCAGCTTGTGGGAGTTGTGTTTGCTTCCCGTTTGTGGGTATAGTATAGGAGTTTGCCAAAGTGCAGTTGTTTTCCTTTGGGAGAGAGAACTGATCAAATGAAAGATGTCTTGGTTTTTAATGTCTTTTTACTGAATTGACTGTTCAAAAGTTTGAGAGTAATATTAATGCCGTTAAGGACAGTATATACTCATTGCTGACACCAGAAAGTATAGGATATAAAAATATCTCAAACTGCTGTAACACGTTGTGGTTAGGCACCACCAGGTCAGCTCTAACTCACAGCAGCCCTGTCTGTGGACAACAGAACCAGCCCCCACCCAACCCTGTACCAGCCTCGAGTCCTGTGCTTGAACCCATCGGTGCAGCCACTGTGCGTGTCCATCTTGCTGAGGGGCTTCCCCTTTTTTTGCTGACCCTCTGCTTTACCAAGCATAATATCCTTCAGGGACTGGGCCCTTCTGACAGCATGACCAAAGTAGGTGAGACGAAGTCTGGCTGATCTTGCTTCTAAGGAGCGTTCTGGCTGTACTTCTTCCAGGACCGATTTATTTGTTGTTCTGGCAGTCTGTGGTATTTTCAGTTCTTCCCCAACACCACAGCTCAAAGGCATCAACTCTTCTTCAGTCTTCCTTATTCATTGTCCTGCTTCTACATGTATATGATGAGGTGATTGAAAATACCATGGCTTGGGTTAGATGCACCTTGTCTTCCAAGTGACGTCCTTGCTTCTTAACACTTTGAAGAGGTCGTGTGCGGCAGGTTTGCCCAGTGCAGTATATTGTTTCATCTCCTGACTGCTGCTTCCACGGTTGTTGGTTATGGATCCAAGTAAATGAAATCTTTGACAACTTCGATCTTTTTTCTGTTTATCATGGTGCTGCTTATTGGTCCAGTTGTGAGGACTTTTGTTTTCGTTGTGTTGAAGTGTAATCCGTGCTCATGACTGTAGTCTTTGTTCTTCATCAGTAAGTGCTTCAAGTCCTCTTCACTTTCAGCAAGCAAGGTTATGTCATCTGCATATTGCAGGTTGTTAATGGGTCTTCCTCCAATCCTGATGCTGCATTCTTCATATAGTCCAGCTTCTTGGATTTGCTCAGTATACAGATTAATAAATAAGTATGGTGAAAGGATACATTACTGCTATAGCATATATGTTGTGAAAATGAGCTTGTTTATTGAAAATAGATTTGCCCGTTTTCTTACTACAGATAACATTCGATTATTTTTCCATTTGACTAAAGAACTCCATTGACACAGACACGGGCAAACGCTTGCTGGGGTTGCCATAGGTGGTGTGGATTCGCTATGACAGCAGGAGTGGAACTCAAACTGTTGTCACCAAGCCTTAGAAAGCAGGAGAGAGGTGTGGAGGTGAGAAGAGAAATAAGGAAAGAGTGGAGGAATGAGAGGGAGAGTGGTTGGGTGTGAGTTAGCAGAAGTAAGCAGAGGCAGACTTTTGTTGGGTCTTAAGGTCATGGTGATAGGCGTTGAAAAATTATTCTGAATTGATGGGAAGCCAGTGAGTGGCGTGATTGGATTTCCTGTCCTAAAAATGACACTGCTTACCACATGGAGATGCCTACTGAGGGTGAACCTCTTCGTTAGGATGAATGCATAATCGGTGCAGAGACGTCATTTGGTCAGTTGTGTTACTTTCTACCAAAGGGTTTTCTTTGGGGTTTTTTTTTTGTATTCCAGCGTATGGCTGAGCCCCTTGTACCCACGAATTGGCCATGGAACTCACGGATCTGGAGAATCAACAACACATTTTAAAGCCGACCTCATCGGTTACTTGATGGCTTATAATGCTCCTTCCCTAAAGGAGTGGATCGATACCATCCAGGAGCATGATCTTTCTGGAACAAAGTACGTGCCATCTTACCAATAGGGGGTGCTCATGACGGGTTAATACCTTGAGAGCCACTGGAGGTCTGGGATGCAGGGGGGCATGGAAAGAGGGGGTGACAGTTGGCTGTACTCCCTGGGTGATGACGGAATGTGAGCAGATTCCGGTTCTTGGGTGTTAAAATTGAGGCCAGTAAATCTTCCTCTCGTCTTCAGCCACCCGCTGGAGTACTCATAAAAGCAGCAAGGTCTTTGCCTGGTACCTCTCACCTTGTAGGCCTTCTACCGTATATGGTTTTGCTGGAAAAATGAGATTACACATCGGTTACTACAGCCAAAGAGGCATCATAAGAAAATGGATTGGCATTTAGAACGTTTCATGATTGTATTATACTTCTCACATGCACTTGGTGATGTTTGGGTGCCCAAATCACATCATTACATACCATAGCTTACGTATGATGTTTTTTAGTGTGTACCTTGTCGGATCAACCCCAGGACGCTTCCAAGGAAATCAGAAAGACAATTGGGGACATTTTAGACTTCGTAAGGTAACAGCTTTTCTTTTTTTTTTTTCCCTTAGTGTGTATTCTCAGCCTCATTATCCTGGGTGAATAGCAGGCACTTGACAAATTGACCATTTAACTGTAGGTTTCTGTAATGACTTGTAATGTTTTGTTTTGCCTTGTTTGTAGGTACAGAGTAGATGGGTTTGACTGACATAACTGTGTGGACTGTTTGTTTAGTGTTGATTTTTTGAAATGAGGATAATTAAAGGCTTCTTCTTGTGCAGGAAGCATTGTAGCTAGTGGCTATTCCACATTTCAAGGCTTTTCAATACAGAAATTGAACACAGAACCAAAACCAGTGTCGTATAAAGGCTGTGACTGAGCTATAATATACTTTGTTTACAAAACCAGTGCCCTTCAGGGACTCGTAATTATAAAAATGACATCTGCTGCTGGCATGAAAAATGAACAGGCAAAGGTCTTTAACAAATAAAACAGCAAGTAAGTTGGAGATTAACACTATCATCATCTCTTTAGGAGACTGCTTATTATCCTTAATAAATTCCCTGAAGTGGTGTTCTTAAAAGCCTTATCTCTCATTCCCTCAATTATTTATGATATATGAGAATTCCCCTCGGTTAACTAACTTTTTCATTTAATTTTCCTTTTTGAAATGGGGCCACAGCTTACAGCAGGCAAGATCTCAAAGATCCTCATTTCTTAACCTGTAGAGGGAGGAGAGCACTAAGGCCGTGTAGACGCGTTCGAGGGACGTGCCCATGCTGGGCTCCAGATCCCGTTACTTAGAAGTCACGTGGCCTTGGCTTGTTGCTAACCTGTCTTGTCAACTCTAAGTGTGCATAATAATGGGAATCTCCAACCATTCTGTAATTACACACCGAAGTACAGAGGCATTAAATGAAACAATGAAGGTAAAACAGTGCAGTGTGAAACAGAGGTTAAGCATTCAGAAGCATCAGTAACTATCTGTGGTTTA